AAGTCGAATTGAATTCTTCTTGAATTCTTCCCCACAACTGTTTTTTTTCCGTGACGGAAACGCGATCTGTCCTTTTGTCCTCCAACTTTTTTCCATATCCATTAAAAATAATATTAAACAGATGTGTTTTTTCATCTGGGGTGAAATTTGGCTCTCTTTTCTTTCCGTCGCCCATTTTTGAATGAAAAATTAAAATTTGCCAAAAAACAAATAAACCAAAAACTAATAAACCAAAGACTAAAATCAAAAACCACGCTAACTCGCTAACTTATTAGAGAGAAAAAAGTTAGGTTAGAAAACACAAAAACACGTTTTCTCTTCCAAATTATTGTTAACTTATCTGCTACTGACATCCAGCTATTCTACGTTTTTTAAATTTATTTGACACATAAAGTAGAAAAGAAAAAATTTTCAACGTTGCCAGATTTACAATCCGATTAGCTAATCGTGATTAATACCAAAATGGTGCATACCAAACATAATCGATTTGCTTAATCCAGATTACGGAATCTACGATTACATCAAGAACGGTGCATACGGCCCTTAGTAAATTAATGCAGAATAAAAGTATAAATCTTAAAGTTTGTTTAGACTGCCTAAACAAAATTAAAACATATTTAACAGACTTAAGAAGCGATAAAGGATTTAATGAAATTCTTGTCGACGCCAGAGAACTGGCCGAAGAATTAGAAATCGAGCCTAATTTTGCGTCGATACAAACTGTTCGGCTAAGAAAAAAGAAAAAACAGTTTGATTATGAAAGTAACGACGAACCAATAATCGACCCTAAAATTAATTACAAAGTGAACGTATTTTTTTCTATACTAGATACAACCTTATCATCTCTTGATGAAAGGTTTAAGGAATTGAAGCGATTCAATAATATTTTTGGGTTTATTTATAAAATGTTCCGCTTGACTCAAGAAGAATTAAGGATATCTTGTGAAAATTTATCGTTTCATTTGAAAGACGAATCACGTAAAGAATCAGATATTGACGCAAATGACTTATTTGATGAAATTAATTGTTTAAAATGTCACATGCCAGAGTCCACAGGGGAAAACGATTTAGACCCCCAAGTAATTCTTCAATATATTTTAGAAAATCAGTTAATTTCGACTTTTCCAAATATTGCAGTGACTATTCGAATTTTTTTAACGCTACCAGTATCCGTAGCATCAGGGGAAAGGTCCTTTTTAAAACTTAAATTGATAAAAACATATTTAAGGTCCAGTATGGCACAAGAAAGACTTAGCTATTTAGCAATTATGTCCATAGAAAGTGAAATTATGGATTCTATTTCCCTCGACGAGTTAATTAAAGATTTCGCCGAAAAAAGGCAAGAAAAGAATGTTTTCAATAATTTATTTTATTATGTTTTCCTTGTTAACAGAATTATTATAGAAATTTTTTATTTGTTTTGGTACTTTCTGGGATTTTTATTTTTTTTTTAATTTTTTCTATTTCTGCTTTGATAATAGATTTCTGAGTTACATATTAGACATGTTTTAAATTGTCATATATACAAGTCTTATATCAAAATTAAATATAATTATTAGCATTTACTTAATTTCAATTTTATTTATTACCTATGTATCCATTTTTAGTTATAAAGGGTAACAAGTGATGATTTTTGAACGTTAAATTTTAAAAGGGGCGGCAAATTATGGTTTGCACACGGGCGGCCGAATAGCTTGGCTCGGCCCTGAATAGAAGGGCCAGGTCCAAAAAGTATTTGGTTGGCTGCTTTCTTGGTTAGTGAATCAGCAAGACAGATACCTGTCGATGAGGCGTGACCTTTGATCCATCTTAGGATGACCACATTGTTGATATATACTTCAGCCAAAGCTTCGTGAAATTCTAGTACTAACCCTGAGTAAATTCGTGGTCTATTCAGGGTGAGTAGTGCTTGTCTGCTATTTGTATAGATGAGCATGTTCCTTCCAGTGATATTGTTTCTGGTAATTTCTTTTGCTGCTATGAGAATACCCGTTAGCTCTGTTTGAACTACACTGACACTATTACTCACAGTCCATTTTATATTCAGGTTTAAGAATCTTGACTATATTCCACATCCTGAGCCTTGTTTTGTTTTAGAACCATCGGTGTAGATATGAATCGTACCTGCCACTTCCGACTCTTCTATTTGTTTTGTTATAACTTTATATGGCTTATGGAAGACATATCTTGGTGAGATAGAGTCCATGTCCGCTTGAAGCAGTGGGAGCGAATCGAATGCCTCCTGCCAAAAGCGACGTCTCGCCTCACCAGATCCTACATCAGGTTTTATTTCAACCGTGTGGAGGCGTGTCATTGTCGTCAGAGCCACCTCCTTGATGTATATATCAAGGAGAGTGAGACTAAAAATGACTTCCATGGCTTTGGTCGGTGTTGTTTTCATGGCTCCTGTTATGTTGAGACATGCTATTCTTTGAATTTGTTCTAGTTTACGGATATCTGTTAATTTTTGGATTTTCGGTACCCATACAACTGTACCGTATGTTAGCATAGGTCTTATGATAGCGATGTAAGTCCATGCGACGACTCTGGGGAAGAAACCCCAGGTGTACCTCATGGTTCGGCGGCATTGTTCATAAGCTATGTATGCTCTTTTGACTCTGTTTTCTATAAATAAATAATAGATAAGAAATGATATTTTGGTGTCGAAATCTCACTATTGCTATTATTTACCGTAATTACCTCAATGTAAATAAATCACATTATGCCAAGCTATTTCGCTCAGTGTAGAAAATAAGCAGGTTTACTTAGCGTAATAAGTTGTGTATTGGTAATATTTATTCTGTGAAAAAGGTCCAGACCATATCAAAGGCACCGACAGTTAGTGTCGCTTCTCCTTGATCAATAGTCTTACCGTCCAATTTCGCTGTTATCTTGTTTTGCTAAAACTTTTGAGAGAATTATTAAACGTCGTTTAGAATGGTATTTTGAACATAACTTTCTGTTTCCTAGTTCCCAGTACGGAATCCGTAAGTCTAAAGGTATTTTAGACTCTGTTAGTTAATGACATTCAGTATTCATTCTCAAAAAATGAATACACAGCATGTATTTTTTTAGATCTTAAAGGGATGACCCAGTTGGTTTGAACATCTTACAAACAAAACTCTCCTATTACGGTTTTGATACAAACGCCTCTGCCAATATTATTGAGTTATTTAGAAACAGGAAAGTATATATCAGAAATCACTATAACCTTCTGCATGGCCCTAGAATTGTCAACCAGGGTATTCCTCAAGAATCCGTTCTGAGCCTTTCCTTTCGATATTTACACGGCAAACTTGCATAAGATCTTCGATCAACCGATTAAGTGTATTCAGTACGAGGATGATGTATGTATTTATACAACCTGTAAGTCTTATCACGATTGTGTTGTAGATCTTAAATATGTCATGTATTACCTTACAAGCTGGTTATTTAATCATGGTTTCTTTGGCAGCAAATAAATCAGCTGTGATGGTTTATACCCGTCACAGGCTGATAACAGGAGAAGTCAATAAGTTTAATTCAATATCTCTTCAAATACTTAGAAATTGTCTTAGACAATAAGCTTACATGGAAAAAACATATTGATTATACTTTATCCAAATGTGAAAGAGGCATTAATATTCTTAAATGTGTCACAAAATTTAAATGGGGTGCAGACACAACAACGTCGTTAATGTTTTATAGATCTTACATATGATCAATCATTGACTATGGGTGCATATTATATGGATCAGCTGCGAACTCAAGCCTTAAGTTATTAGATTGTGTGCAAGTTAAAGCAGTCAAAATATGTCTCGGTGCTTTTAAATCTTCCCCTACTCCAGCGGTTCTTGCTGAAGCACAAGAGCCTCCTCTTCACTTACGAAGACATTTTTTAGCATGAAAAAAGTTTGATTCTGAATTCTTCCTTTATCCTAAATATTGAAAATCTAACCAACAAATATTGGGAATTTAAAAATAGTCCACCTTTGGCTGAAGCCTGTGTATCTTTAAACCAGTTTTTAAATAAAGTTGAGTCTTACGATATACTTCCTATATACCAGTTTAATTTTTTCTTCTTATTGTTCAAGCCACCAATCCTATTCCCTGAGTTTACTTCTTCCCCTAAAATTAATAATATAATCATAAAATCGGTATTGGGAACGCTAGATACAGTTAATACTATTTTTTGCGATGGGTCTAAAGGAAAATAAGGTACAGGATACGCGTTTTATGTGGAAAATGAAAACTTTATTGCTCAATTTCATTTATCAAATTATTCATCTGTTTATAGAGCGGAGGCTTTTGCAATTTTACAAGCACTCAATTGGATAAAAAGCTATGGAGAAAGCAAATCGGTTATTCTTTCAGAGTCGAAATGTTTTACTTTCAATTTCTAACTATTCCTGTAATATTAACAAAAATCCTATTATAAGAGAAATTATTCAGTCTCTCCTTACTCTTCATAATTCTAAAATCGTTTTCATCTGGGTTAAAAGTCATAAAGGGATAGTTGGAAACGAAAAAGTCGATTTAGCTGCTAAAGAATCCATTCTTCTTCCAACTATTAGTAATATTCATTCTCCGCAGGATATTATTCATGCAATGAAACGAAATGTTAGATCAAGCTAGGAGAAACTTTGGGAGCACTTTCTTATTCAAATAACCCATATTATACATTTGTTCACCCTGTTTTTCCAAAATATATTCCCCACGTTACAAATTTTAAAATGACTAGGTATTATTGTACGGCTTTAACAAGGATGAAACTAAATCATAGGGTTTTCCGTCTCACCTTTCCAGAATTTGTATTAATATATCACCTTTCTGTCAATGCGACAATTCTTCTCAAAAAAAAAAAAAAAAAAAAAAAAAAAAAAAAAAAAACGGTTTTGATGGATACTAGATGACATCGATAAATATTAGAAAACGCCTAACGCCTTAACTAATTACTGACAGTAAACTGACAATGTCAAAATCATTCGAAATTTAACACATACATCAAAATTCCAAGTACATCTCAAATAAATTTTAACTTAAACACCAAATAGTCATCATCATGGGTGATAAAGACAACCTTACAGCCATCCTGACCAAAGTCAATGAAATAAAATTAGAACAAAAGCCAATACCGGTACCAGGATGCCACCAAGTCCTGCTTCAGATGGAAGTCGTCGGTATTTGTGGATCCGATATCCATTATTGGCTCGAAGGCCGATGTGGACCTTTCATATTGAAAGACCCAATGGTAATGGGTCACGAGGCGTCCGGGGTAGTATTACAATGTGGATCTGAAGTCAAAAGTCTAAAACCCGGTGATCGGGTCACTATAGAACCTGGTTACGGTTGTAGGCGATGCGAATATTGCAAAACCGGGAAATACAATCTTTGTCCTGATATGAAGTTTTGTGCCACTCCTCCCGTTGATGGAAATTTAGCTAGGTATTATGTAACAGAGGCCGATTTTTGCTTCAAGTTGCCGTGTAATATGAGTTTGGAGGAGGGTACTTTGATGGAGCCGCTTGCTGTGGGTGTACATGCGTGCAAGTTATCCAAAGTAACTTTAGGTAATTATTTATTTATTTACCTTATCCTAAATCGGTTTGTGCAACACTCGAGTCTCTATATTTTAAACTTAATTTATTATTAGTTCCATACTACAATCATTTAAAACGATATTCTCTTAAAAACTTGCACTTATTAAGTTTTATACTTAGCATGCTGTACAAAGATAAATCTACATATTGCAGTGTTATTTTTATTAAAATGGCAAAAGAAGATATGTACCTAACCATTGTTTAAATATACATAAATTTTTCAAGTCATAATATGTCTACAATAAAACATTCTAATTCAAAGTATAATATAAATAATACATAAAGTTTGTTTTTCTTCTAATAAACATGCTTGTATTTCTGGTATAAAACTGATTTTGTTAACGGGAGGAATAAAATGTGTCCCTGTTTATGTTTCCTCTGGGGAGAAAAAAAAACAAAAAAAAAAACAAAAAAAAAACAGAAAAAAACAAAAAAAAACAAAAAAAAGGAAAAAAAAAAGGGAATTTAAAAAATAGGATTTAAAAAAAATTGGAAAAAAATATAATTTACTTATATTACAAATTTTAGTTAGTAGGAATTACACAAAAATAAAACATTGTAAAATCAAAATAAGGACTAAAAACGATAAAGATAGGCGAATGGATGTAAAATCCGCAGTCATAGAACCCCAAACAAGCAAGTTAACGGGAGGAAATTTTTTTATAAAAGTGGTAATTTTTATGGTAAATGAAGGAAAAAGCTTACTTCAAGGTTATCAACACTGCTTGCGGTTAGATCGGTCACGCCCAAAGAAGTAGAGAGGGTAGAACGATAAGGTACCGTCTGCGCATCCATCACGAGTGTAGAAATTATGCGTGATTCAGCCTTCCACTATTACACACCAGGGTTGCCAATCTGTGAGTAATTCCTCACATTTGTGAGTAATTTACTAGTCTGTGAGTAATTTTGTGAGTAAAGGGCAATTGTGAGTAATCGGGAAGTCAGCATGGGTATATTCATGGCGTTAGGCAAAATCCTGATCGGATAATTTATTAAAACCGTGTTCTTTTTAAAAATTTTAATATAAGCCTAATTTTACCCCACTAGCACTTTTAGCAGTCATTACAATTTTGTAGTTTTAAAATTGCAGCGTCCTCTATTGCTTGGTCAATGTAATAGAGTAAAAGTGATTTTGATATTTTACAACACTAGGTGTCGTGTCGATAGTGATAGTCCCATTGGGACTGTCCCAATCGTTGATTAATATCTTTTTTTGTTCATTTTAAAAGTATATTTTTTATTAATAGATTTTTTTTTAAGTATTAGAATTAATTATTTATTATGATTTGGCCCGTTAATAAAGAAGATACTCTAATTCTCCAAACCTTTTTATCTGTGTTTTTTGTTCAGCTGATTACAGAGAAGTTTTATATACAGGGTGATTCATAACTATTGGGACATAGGCTAAGGGCAGGTTATTTGTACCATTGTACCAAAATATGGCGATAGGGCCAAATATACCTTAATAAAATATTGCTGTGGAATAAGATACAGAGCGTTAAATAATAATAGTAATAATTATTTGACACTTTAAAGCAACTTTTCATAAATGAAATATTTTGGGAGTTGTTCAATTGCGTTTTTCTGGAAAACGGGTGAAATGTTCTAATCAAAAATACTAAAAAGTTTCGTAAAAAAAGCTACCACTTAATTTCATCATCAGGAATATTTCACGTGGCGCCTCCTGTAACAAAATGTGAAATAATCAATAAAATAATATTCCTTGTCAAAAAATATGCCTTTGTGCCAATTTTGATAACAATTCATAAATATACAGTGACATCAGAAAAAAACGAAAAAACAGAATTCAAATTTAACTCCCTGTATCTTATTCCACAGCAATATTTTATTAAGGTATATTTGGTACTATCGCCAAATTTTTGTCCAAATAACCTGTGCCTATGTCCCAATAGTTATGAATCAACCTGTACATTACTTGGTTATTAAAATAGTGAATGCACAGAAAAAAGGTGCATCAGTTTTGACTCTTGTATGTTCTGAAAATTGCTCTTTTGATGTATGGCAACATTGCACAGTAGTAAAATAAATTCAATCAAAAGTGCACGAATACAAAATATAGCATTTATATAAAAAAAACTAGTAATATTGATATTTTTAAGTTGTGAGTAATTGTGAGTAATCCGGAAAAGTTTTTGAGAGTAAATCGGTAAAGACCGGTTGGCAACCCTGTTACACACGTAAATGACAAGGAGAGGTTGCCCTAAAGCACTGTAAACAAATTCCAGGATCGACTTTATTCAGCGATTATGTTCATGTTCAGCTCTGTTTTTTGTTTGTGTTTTGGCTGTTGTAAGCTTTTTTGGCGTCAATTCTTTGTTATCTTGCTTATATTTATGATTTTTTATGCTTTTATTCCGATTTAGTATTAAATTATACTTGTTAATTATTTTTCGATGCACTATTTTATAATTGTTGCACAAAATGTTGGTAAACCGTCCCTGAATTTTGTTTACAAAATGTGCAAAACGAAATTGTGCATAGTGTCCAGACTTTTTCATTGACAGTTATCATTCTACCCCTCTCCACTTCATTGGTCACGCCTGAGATGTTGAGTAACGTTAGAAGACATTTTTATTTCAGATTAGGATGTTGTCAAGAGCGAGCATTTTTAACATCTTCTACATTGAGATGTATTTTTTTGTTACATTATCCAGAAATAAACAGTATCACTTATTAGTTTTTGAGTGTGTTGTAATAAATTTCTGTAATCAAATAATTTTATTTTATTAATGTTAATTTTTGCAATGAATCGTAAAACAGTTACGTATAGGACATAGTACATAAAATATGTCTAGAATTTTCTGAAAAATCAATAAATTGAAAAATATACAGGGTGTTGCATTTCAAATAAGAAAGTTGGTATTGGCCACTATTACATGACACACCCTGTATAAAAAGTTTTTGTTAAAGAAAGTGCGCAACTAAAAATACCAATCGACGTGTCCGAGTGTTTATTTATTACCGAATTTATTCCATTTAACTGTTCCACACTTTGTAATAGTTTACCATGGTAAATATATTTTTAAATTTATTTAAAACAGCAAACAGAAATTACATCCATTAAGTTATGTTGCTTACTTGAAAACTTTTTAGATAGTTTCTTATCTGTCCTGATGAGGTTCATCCAATAAGACACCTCTTTCACCTCATTTAAGGTCTATTGGCTACTTTCCTTTTGAATTTTCAGTTGGCTAAGGGGGTTATTATGGTAATTCTAATTTATTATGATGTTTGGCGCTGTATTAAATAAATTCTTAACCTTTAACCGCTACCCTGAAAAATGTTCACACTCTCACTACCATTGGTATGAGATACCGCTATACATAATATGTGGTATTACCTATATACATTTTCTTTTTTTTTTTTTTTCGAAAATTGAAATGACCTTATTTGTTTTGTTCTTTCTTTATTATTAATCGCAAAAATAAAACCAAAAGGCTAAAATAAACATCTTAAGAGGGTTCTATACCCGTCCGCCATATTGGAAATGTTAATGTTCAAATTGCGGGCTTAATACTCACCAAAAAAAATATCTTTTTTGTATCCGTGCTTCTTATGCATCGTAGATTGGCGCATGATAACTTTTTTTTATAAACAAAAAAAATAAAATGAAAAAAATATAAAACAAGTCATATACGTATAAATGTTATCATCCGCCATTCTTTATTTGCCACTGAACAACTTGTGTATTTACCATTTTTGAAAAAAGTAAGTAGTTTTTTCTAAAATTGAACATTGCATAAAAATTTCAGAAGGCACCGGGAGGTGCTGCCCCCAACGGTCCTCTTTTACGTTTGGATACCATGATAATCAATATTTTCTATACCAGATGGCGCACCAGTCGCGAAAAGTATGTTCAGTTGCCTAAACCAATAAATATTACAGAGTTACTTTCCGATCGATGTATAAAATTGCAAACAACACGATACACAGAATAACGGTGTGTTCCTGCGCATGCAGCTGACTGACGGTGACGTCACGTGGGACAGAATTGTTAGTATTAAATCGGAAATAGTGTTTGAAATTCGATATATCGCCGGTTTTAGATTTTATGCAGTTACTTAAGCTTTATTGGTTATTTTATAATATATTCGTTTACAAATATGAAGGTTTAAGGTAAATAATACTAATAAAAATATTAATTTTTTTCATAAATTCTACGTATTTTGTGACAAAATCCATAACCTGGATAAGATAAATTAAAAATATGGACTAAAAATATAAGTTTGACTGAAATTTGTACTTTCTGGGAGTGGTAGTTCCTTTTAAATTTATTTTCTTAGTATGCAGAAACAAATTATTTTTTTATAAAAAGCAAGTATACAAAAAATAATTTTTTATTTGGTAAATTTAAACATTTTTTTGCCAAGTTTACTTTGAAAATATTCAAAACCAATTTTTCTATTCATGTATCTTATTCTTAAATATGTTCCTGTCCTGCTCTTGCATAGTATTTCTTGAAAAGGGACCGTTGTATTGGGACAGGAAACTACTGCTTTATCTGCTAAAATTTTAAAATACCTATTTTCTTTGCTTAATAAAGCCCCATGCACCTGGTGGAATTCAGTTTTCTTCTCTTGCGTTTATGTTTACTACTTTCCTCAAAGTAGATAGGGCAACTTCATGCTAAAATAATATTTTAGCAACTTTTCACTGTCTCTAAACCTATTACACTTGTGCATTTTACTAACCATTATTGTTTAAATTAAGTTTGTCCTTTTTATGATAAGAATTTATCCATATTTTGTGGCATTCGAAAATATCTTACATTACACTATTTTTGAATTTCGCATTATGGATTTTGCAAGTCTCCACCGCGCAGCCCGGCCATTTAAATATTAATTCAGTTCTTCCCTATTATATATAAGAAAATATAGTCACTACTAACACAAAAACAAATAAATTATTAAATTATTTTACACTATTCAATCAAAAAGTGTCAAAATAAC